AACGCCGGTCCCCAATTAAACCCCGGCCTTGTTTAAACGCCGGGGGCATTTGTTCGAGGTCCCGGCGTTTAATCAAGGTCCTGGCGTTTATTTGCGTCGAGCCCACAAGTACAGATATTCACCAGAAAAGCACTGCTATGACTCGTAATGTATGGTATACTGCTTTTGTTATTTTAATAAATGTTTAACGAACAAGTCTGGCGTAACATTAACTGTGATGTACATGTTGTACAACAAAACAAAATTGAAAATATGTAGAAATGTTCACATTCCTGTTGTTATGACTGACGCACTCTCTTTCTTTTGTTGTAGTGCTAGCTGTCATTAAAATCGCAAGGATCCCTCCAGCGTTTGTTTATTAGTTGTTTTAGCCTTGTCAAAAATTGTGCTTTCTGGGTGGAAATGGCGCAGTGAACAGTAATAGGGACTTCAAGGCCGCCTTGTTCCAAGTTGCTAGCTCTGTAGGTTTCCTGTCTCACTTTGGCCGAAACTTTCCCTCCATGTTTTACGAAGAAGCAAAGAGCGGATGAGAGCTCGATAGGGATGTGTCCGACATTTATATTGTCGTTATCAGGTCTATGCTCACGGTACACAGCCATCGCACAAGGGTCGTACTTGTTGTTTTCTTCATGGGGTACAATAAGACCTTCTCCTATCGCAATATCGTTCCAGTGTTTTTCAGTAACGTGGTATCCTCGCACACAGCAATCAAATTCAAATGTTTCCTTGGTTTCTTGATTTGCCATACGTATAATACCGTTACAATATGAAGGATAAAGCCAAATACTTGAGATCCTTAGGTTACTACGTGACTTCTCAAGCTAGCCGAGNGCAAGGATCCCTCCAGCGTTTGTTTATTAGTTGTTTTAGCCTTGTCAAAAATTGTGCTTTCTGGGTGGAAATGGCGCAGTGAACAGTAATAGGGACTTCAAGGCCGCCTTGTTCCAAGTTGCTAGCTCTGTAGGTTTCCTGTCTCACTTTGGCCGAAACTTTCCCTCCATGTTTTACGAAGAAGCAAAGAGCGGATGAGAGCTCGATAGGGATGTGTCCGACATTTATATTGTCGTTATCAGGTCTATGCTCACGGTACACAGCCATCGCACAAGGGTCGTACTTGTTGTTTTCTTCATGGGGTACAATAAGACCTTCTCCTATCGCAATATCGTTCCAGTGTTTTTCAGTAACGTGGTACCCTCGCACACAGCAATCAAATTCAAATGTTTCCTTGGTTTCTTGATTTGCCATACGTATAATACCGTTACAATATGAAGGATAAAGCCAAATACTTGAGATCCTTAGGTTACTACGTGACTTCTCAAGCTAGCCGAGAATAAACCAACACGACAGAAATTGTATTCTATTTTTAGGTAGGTGTCGGATGACATCTGGGAAAATTCAGTTGCAAGGTTTTATAACCCATTTTAAAACTAGTAATTCCTAATTGACGTAACCACAACGTCTAAGGAAATTCCGAGACAATCTGACCCAACGGGGCGAACTTCTCTCGCAATGAACTTGCTAATTTCCCAACGTTCCAAGTTCACAATTTGATTGACAAGTACAAAATGAAATTGTCAAGTTCGTAGCGAACGTCGGTAACTTCAAACGAATTTCGGAAACTGCTTGTCAAAAGTTTTGTGAAACGCACTGTAACATGCGTAGCACTGGCATAGAATTAGTGTACCAGCAATTCGATTTCTTTCAATCATTCTTGAGATCATGAACAATGAAGGTATCAACAATTCCACTGAATCTTCCAGTCGATCTAGTCAAGAAAATGATCATTCATGTGTGCAGAGCAGTGAAGCAAGTGGAAAGGGAAAGAAACGACACAGCTACAATATAAGCACAAAACTCGAAGCGATTGCTTATTCAAAAAGTAACGGCAAGGAAGTTGCAGCACGAAAATTTCGTGTGGACGCAAAGAGAATTTGAGAATGGGAACAAAAGAAAGCAGAGCTTGAGACTTCAGCAAACCCAAGGAAAAGACTACACGGTGGTGGTAGAAAGCCTCTTTCCACTGAGCTTGAGGATAGAGTGCTCGAGTGGATCCACGATATGAGCGCACGTGGTCAGCACGTCTCCAGGCAGGCCATAAGCAAGAAAGGAGAGATCATTTGGCGTGAACTCAAGTCATCGAACGGAACCAATGTCACTGCTGGTTCTGACGACAAAGAGGAAATATCCCAACAAGACTTTAAAGCAAGTAATAGCTGGGTAGTTCGCTTTATGAACAAGCATGGATTAACTTTGCGTAAACATACCTCTCTTGCACAGCATGATCCCGGCAACCTTATTGATTGCGTGATAAGTTTCATTCTTAACGTGAGGTGCAAATTTCACACAAAGCAGTATGCAATGGCAAATGTAATCGCCATGGATGAAACACCGATCTGGCTAGATATGCCAAGTGCTACTACTGTGAATGAGGCTGGAGCATCGAGTGTCACCATAAGGTCAACTGGACATGAAAAAGACAGAGTAACTGTTTGCCTAGAAGGCAAGGCAAATGGGCATAAAATTAAGCCAATCATTGTTTTCAAAGGTGGAAAAAGAGATGTAAAGAGAATGAATGAAGACAGGCAGTTATCCGGAAAATGTGTTATTCATACCTCAGTCAATGGCTGGATGAATGAAAGCCTGACGGAAGAATGGATTCAGTATGTTGTCGGCCGCCTCTTGTTTGCTCCGAGCCTTCTTGTCTGGGACACATACAAATGCCACATGACAAATGGAGTCAAAGAAGCCCTACGACAGGCTAGTGTCAATGCAGCGTTGGTTCCTGGTGGGTGCACGAAATACATCCAGGCTCCCGACGTGTCCTGGAACAAGCCATTCAAGAATCTGTGCCAAATAGCTTACAATGACTGGATGGCAGAAACCGACCACGAAATTACTCCAGCGGGTCGTATTAAGGCACCTTCAAGGCACAGCTGTGTTGAGAGAATATTAGGGGCCTGGGAAACCCTCCCAAGTGACATTATCAAGAAGAGTTTTGAAGTGTGTGCGATCTCACTATCCATTGACGGATCGGAATGTCAGGTCGGGTCCAAGGGAGAAATCGTCCCGCCTTGACAAACTGCACATGGATCTCAAAGAATGTGAAATAATACATCAACCTAAAAATGATGAAAATTTTACTTCATTAATAAACGCCGGACTCCCATTAAACGCCGGCTTCAAATAAACGCCAGGTCACTGAGGCCAAGTTTTAAATAAATGCTGGGGGCGTTTAATCGAGAAAATACGGTATGTTTATTTGTTTGCGGGGTTAGCGGTGAATAAGTGGTAGTCCAAAGCAGGAAAAAAATGTCAAAATCAAGTTGCCTCTTTAAAGAATTATTTGGGACGCCTTGAGGTTCCTACAAAGTTGGAGACATTGATATCGATGAAATAACTACCATTGATCAGTGTACTCGGGATATTACAGGACATCTGCAAGTGGTGCATTTGAGGGAGTCTGCGGAACTAAAGTCCAAGGCAGATTTAATATTTCTGTGCTCAGGCAAGTGTAAAAACTGTATGATTCAATTTTTTGTTGGTGGCACTTTTTGTTACTCCCTTTCTTGCCATGGCAGGTTTATTTGACAAGGAAGTCCAACAATGCCATACAGTTTGCGCTCTGCATCATTTTTCTCTTGGCATTTACTGGAATGGGAAATGGCGATTTTGCCAAATCCAGAAAGAGGCCACAGCACATAAAAAAGATTGTGCTAAGGTCGATTGGGCAGTAAATGGTGCACTTGCGAAGAAGATATTTTTTCTTACAACTAAAGTTGTCCCTGTTGGCTCAAGTAAGTTGTTGCATGCTTCATTCTTAACTGGGAATATAAAGAGCACAATAAACAATTTTGAAAATGCTGTGGATCTGCTGTTTTAAAAAAGCATAATCACTGCCTAATTAAATAAAAGATGACCACATAAATTGAATAACAGGGTTTTTGTGGGAAGGTTGTAAGCAAAATATTTTCATCAAATTAAAGTTAAAAAAACTGCTAGTCTGGGAAGATAATACAGAAAGAGTTTAACGGTAAACCCTTTATCTCAAATATAATTGCTGAGAAATATTGCCTTAATAAATTTTGTTGTGAGCTTCCTTGTAATCTTGCTCTTATCTTTGCTGTCTATCTGGCCTCTTTGTAATAACTGTTGCTGTGGCTATTTTATGAAGCTGTTATTTTCTTTTCTTGCAGGAATTTGTAGGCAATGCAGAGAACATGTCAATAATACGGAAAGAGAGGTATCAAAAAGCAAAATGGCTGTGCAATAACAAATTTTGTATTTTTATAAATGATTTACTGTAGTGAAAACGACGAGATGAAATTTCTTTTAGCAAAGAACAAATTCATATTATCAAGTAAAAGCTGAATGAAGTGCATCTTCCACGTTTTGACTAAAAAACATTCAACCCACCCCGTGACATTCCCGTTCCTTTTTTCTGGCTACAGTGGTCAAGCGCCTCTGTCTGGTTACTGGATTACAGGAGGGATGGTGTATTAGAGATGTTAGCTGGGATGTGCAGTACTCCTCCATTTAGAATATCTTCGTCATGAGGTTAAAAGGGGTTGACAGGCTAAACACGGCTCCCGCTGTTTTGTGATGTAATAGGTCTTTGACCTTTAGAGTTAAGCTCTAACAAGTATGTCTTTTAGAGATTTTCCTCTCCTGTAGGAGATGAGAGGTGGTTCTCTGTATATTTCTCTCAGCATTGGTTGGTTTTCGATTAAATGCCACTTGCTCATTAAAATATTTTTAAGGTTAGGCACTGATGGATTGTACTGTGTGACAAAAGGCATTAATCCGTTTTTCACTTTTTGCGGTTTTTGTTGAAGTGCCGACTTTCTATCTGTAAATTTGACCTCTGCGAGGATTTTGTTTACCAGATTATCTGGATAGCCAAATCAGGCCAAAGCAACATAGACAATAACGAAGATACGCTGTTAGCATCAGATAGCGATTTTGAAAGTGGCCAACGGCCGCCCGACCGTAAGCACCGCCACAGAGAAGGAAGGAAAGACAACATCCCCAACAAGAGACCTCGCTATAACAGATACAGCGCCTCTACTCTGGAAAAGAAAGTTGAAAAATCCGAATCGTCTATTAAGAAACTGAAGGCACACACCGAGAAGAAAACGTGCCCTAAAGACCTGAGGTACAACGTACGAGTCAACATCGTGCCGGACGACGAATTCAAAAGTGACATCAGCCACATCCGCAGAGAAGCTGAACAGAAACTTATCGGCGCGTTGACACGCTACCACTACAGACAAGCAGAGAGCAACAAAATCAAGCTCAAACAATTGGAGCAAAGACCAAACGTAACCAGAGGAAAGAAAACGAACAATCCTGATCAAATTAAGAACCAGCCACGACCGGTAAAAGAAAACCGCACTGAGAATAAACTAGTTTTAGCTACAGAGCTAACAAACAAAATCAAGAAAGTGGAAGAAATGATGAAAGCTTTACAAAATAAAGAAAGTGAATCTTATCCCTGTGTATTTACTGACTCTTCAGTCAAAGGGAGGGCGAAAGAAAAACGAAAAATCAGAAATGAAAAAAACCACTCGCGAAGAAGCAATAGGAGGCGAGACACAAACAGGATAAACACTCAGTTTAACCATAGATACATCAAAAACCTCTCAAATTGCAAAATGACAACTGATCAGATCAACTCACTATCAATTCTATGTTGATCCACCACATAAAGACTTCCTTTGTTTTCTATGGTTTGAAGGTAACCATGCGTCAAAGCCCATTATAGAATATCGGATGAATGTACACCTATTTGGCAATGGACCCAGTCCCGCAGTCGCTGCCTACGGCCTATGCAGAACAGCCATTGACGGCGAGGAGGAGTATGGCAAGGAGGCCAAAAAGTTCAGTTGTCGTAACTTTTACGTTGATGGTGGTTTGACCTTACTTTTATCTACACAAGGAGCAACAGATCTGGTTAAGAGTGCACAAGCCACCCTAGCCACAGCTAACCTTCGATTTCACGAAGTAGTTTTTAATTCTGTCAAAGTCATGGAAACCTTCCCGGCCGAAGATCGAGCAAAAGACGTGCGTGACCTGGATTTATGCCACAACAGCTTGCCAGCTCAACGTTTGCTCGCCCTATTCTGGGACCTGGAGACAGACGCCTTTACCTTTAAGGTATCTTTGCTGGAGAACCAGTTCACAAGGAGAGAGGTATTGTCCATCGTCAACTCTGTGTATGACCCGCTTGGCTTTGCAGTACCTGTTATGCTCGAAGGGAGAAAAATACTGCAGCAGCTTGTCCAAATGGGAGAATGGACAAAGGAGAACAATACCCCCCTAGCCTGGGACGACCCCCTCCCTACCGTGATGATAAATCGGTGGACGAGTTGGAGAGACTCTCGTAGAGTTGCAGAACCTTTCCGTGCCTCGCTGTTACCGCCCTAAAGATTTCGGCAGCGTGACTAGAGCAGAGCTACATACCTTTTCCGACGCAAGTCAGGACGCTATTGGAACCGCAGTCTACCATTGCCAGTTCAACGAAGCAAACGAGGTGTCTATGGCTCTCATCTACAGCCAAGCAAGAGTCGCCCTGTTAAATCCCACAAGTATAGCGCGTCTAGAACTGTGTGGAGCAGTCTTAGCTGTTCAAGCAGCCCAGAGAGTTCTAAAAGAAATCGATCTGAAGATTTCTGACGTGATATACTACATCGATTCAAAAGTGGTACTTGACTACATTACCAACAAGAGTTGACAGTTCTATGTGTACGTAGCCAACCGAGTCGAGCTGATTAGGGGCATGTCTACCCCGGAACAGTGGAGATATGCGGAGACTGATTTGAACCCAGCAGACCTAGCAACACACGAAGTTCCCTCAAGCAAGCTAATGGAGACGAGCTGGCTAGTAGGCCCGGAATTTCTACGCAAACTGGAGAGAACCCTCCCAACCAATGAAAGGTTCGTGCTCGTCGCAAGCGACCCTGAAGTCCGAAAAGCAGTGTTCAGCGCCAGTGTAAATACGCATGAAGAGGAAGAACCAGACCTTTGGGCAGACAGGTTCAAGAAATTTTTCTTCATTTAAGTCTCTGCAGCAAGCAGTCGCTAACCTAATTGTCATTGTCAGAGAATTCGAACACCGGAGAGACGTTAAAGCAGAAAGAGTTAACCTCAGGAGTGAAGCGCGTAATAAACAAGGCAAAGTCAGACCCCTGACAGTTGAGGAATGGGATCAGGCCCTGCGCATTATAATCAGCAGCACACAGGGAGAAGCGTTCAGTGGGTTGTTAAGCGACACCAGAAAAGAACCTGAGCTACCAAGAGAAATCCAAGGTAGCGCCAAGAAGGCTCTCAAAGGCTCACAGCTGTACCATCTCGATCCATTCCTAGACAGCCACGGTATCCTCCACGTCGGAGGCAGATTAAGGAGAGCACAGATGGAGTATAATGAGAAACACGCGATCGTACTACCGAAGTGTCACTATATCTCACAGCTAATAGCTGAACACTATCATCATGAAGTACACCACCAAGGGAGACAGATTACAGGAGGTGCAATTAGACAAGCAGGTTTCCGGCTTATTGGAGGCCATAATTAGTCACGGAGGTGATCGGAGCTTGCGTCCTATGCAAGAGGCTGAGAGGACCACACCTAGAACAGCGTATGGCTGACCTCCCGCTAGATAGAACCGAAGTCTGTCCCCCCTTTACCAATGTAGGATTTGATGTCTTTTGTCCCTGGGCGCTGCAAACACGCAAGACTAGAGGAGGAGGAGTAAACACTAAGCATTGGGGCCTAGTGTTCACGTGCCTAAGCAGCAGGGCCATTCACATCGAAGTCTTAGAAGCTATAGACTCCAGTGTCTTTATCTGTGCATTGTGGAGGTTCTTCGCACTACGAGGCCCTACTAAACTCCTCTGATGCGATCAGGCTACAAATTTCGCTGGAGCTAAGACGGAGCTTGACGCAGCAGCATCCGAGTTAGATGAGAAGAAAGTGGAGAAGTTTGTAACGGAGTGCGGTTGCAAGTGGGAGTTTAATCCTCCCCATGCATCACATTTTGGCGGTGTGTGGGAGAGGCAGATTAATACGATTCGCCACGTATTGGATGCTATGTTCACTGAGTTAGGCCAGAGTCAGCTTACACATGAATTGCTAGTGACTGATGGCCGAAGTTGTAAACATTGTGAACGCCAGGCCGATAGCAGCGCTGCTGTCCAACACTGATGACCCGCAGCCTCTGTCCCCTGTGATGTTACTCACTATGAAGACACGCCCAGGTGGACCCTCGTCCAGGCCAGTTCATGCAGACAGATATCTACGCACGCCATCAATGGAGACGAGTCCAGTTCCTTGCGGAACAATTTTGGACCAGGTGAAGGACAGAGTACTTGCAGAGCTTACAGCCGCAACAAAAGTGGACAGAGATGCGCCGGTACTTGTGTGTAGGAGATATCGTTCTTGTGCGGGACGAATCACAACACTGTAACGATTGGCCACTGGGACCAGTGTCGGAAGTCCTGAGGAGCGACGACGGTAGAGTGAGGAAAGTCAAAGTAAACGTCAGAGATGGAGAAAGGAAAACCTACCTTAGCCCAATTAAGGAGCTAGTTCTACTCCTGACCGACACAGCTGATCCAGACCAGCAGTAAACGCCAAGACAATATGAGTACCAAGGATAAGAATCCTTGGGCGAGGAGTGTGATGAACAATGAACGTTCAATCAAAGAGAACTTAATTACGTAATTAAGCTTAGTTTTGTTTTGATTTAGATAAGATACGTTTCTGTTCTGTTTCATTTATCGAGTTTTTACACCCATATTTTCATGTACTATTGTTCACAGTTTGAATCAATTAAGTAGCTAGCCATTCCTGTTTTTTAACCGGTTTTACAACTGTACATGTGAATTGTACCCTTATCAGAGAACGCCCCTTAAGTTTTTGTGTTTCAATCAAAGAGAACTTAATTACGTAATTAAGCTTAGTTTTGTTTTGATTTAGATAAGATACGTTTCTGTTCTGTTTCATTTATCGAGTTTTTACACCCATATTTTCATGTACTGTTGTTCACAGTTTGAATCAATTAAGTAGCTAGCCATTCCTGTTTTTTAACCGGTTTTACAACTGTACATGTGAATTGTACCCTTATCAGAGAACGCCCCTTAAGTTTTTGTGGAGTTGGAGTTAGGAGATCTACGGAGTAACATCGGAGTTTTCAGAGCAGTTTTATCTTTTTCGGAGTTACGTAACGGAGTTTCTTTAGCCCTTTAGACAGGATCAGACGTAAGTTTCAGCTTATTGTATTTAGTTTTCGTTTTCCTTTCAATTTTGCTTCTTTTGTAATTAGTCTTAGCCCCTTTCTTGATCTTGTACATTGTAGTTTCCCCTTTTAGTTTTCACCGCATGTGTACAATAATTCAGATGAGTTGGTGTTCAAATTAACTGCTGTTGAGTCAACTTGTGCTGTGGAATTCTATACTGTGGTTGACACTTCCCAATCTCCAGTGCACAACATCCCGTGTCCGCTACACTGGGTACGCGACACCGTTACTGACAACTGTAGAAACTTTGACCTGATTGATCCAAATAGTGCTGAGTTCCAGGCACTAAGCCGTGACCACAACAATGACCTGCTCTGCAGTAAATGCGAAAGACTGAAGCAGGTAGGTAACTTACCAGTATTACCTTTTGATGCTACCTGAGTAGAATATGAAGTCACTCAATGCTTGTTCTTCAAGCATTCAGGAAATTGGTGTTTTTATGAGATATTTCCCGATATTTCCTTTTCACAAAAGTGTTTCTATCTTTAGGTTTTAGAGACCATTCAAACTAAACTGAAAAACACCTCCTTCCCAACTAAGGAAGAAAGAGATAACAATCTTTTCATGGTACAAAACGCAATTGAAACTATAGATGCATGGAAATCACATCAAATTAGAATGGTTCACCAAGATGAATGCCACTTGAAAGTTATTGAAAGCTTATCTGAAAATACGGTACTTATTGTGCAGCACTTTGCCATGAAATTTTTGCCAGCTGAGTACAGGGAGGCACAATCAGACTTTTTTGGAAAATGGGGAATATCATGGCACATCTCAGTATGTATGAGAAAGCGAAATGACAATCTTGAGGCTCAAACCCTTGTGCATATCCTGGAATCAGGGCTTCAAGATAGCACTGGTGTGGTATCCATGATGGAGCATGTCTTAAAGAGTTTAAAAACCTAGCATCCTGAATTAACAGATGCGTATTTTCGACAAGATAACGCAGGCTGTTACAACTGTGCTAACACAATTCTAAGTTGAAATGCCCTTGGTCAGAAGACAGGGATCTGGGTCAGGCAAGTAGACTTTAGTGACCCACACGAGGGGTGGGGAGGGAGCCTGTGACAGAAAAGCAGCTTAAGTCAAGTCTTGTGTAAAACGTTTTATTGACGAAGGCAACTCTGTCACCACACCGGACGAATTTCTTGAAGCCATCCTGTCTCAAGGTGGCATTGGTGGTGTAAGAGTGGTCGTTATAAGATATGAACAGGAAAGAAGCGGAGCATCCAAGAAGAACACAGTGAAGTGGGAAGGGATTAGTTCGTTCAATAATGTTGTAGTTAAAGGCATCATTTAAGTGAAAAAGGAAGGAACAGTATAACTTCAAGACGTACACAACACAATCCATCTCAAATTTAGTAGAAAATTTATGCATGTAAATTTTGTAACATTTATATGAATTTACGTTTATTCTTGCTGTATAAAAGGAATGAAAACAGGTGACACCAATAGTGAGATTGAGGCATGCCTAACAGACACAGACTTTGTACCTCTCAATTGGGCTCTACCGCAGAATGTAGGAAGGAAGCTGAGGAAGTTGCAGAAGAGCAAGAAAACATCTTGTACGAAAGTTCTACGTCTGACGATCAGAAAGCCACATCGTTATTCTACTGCCAAATGTAAGAATGCTTGAAAACATTTCTTTGGTCCTCTACATTGCAGCTCAATATACGCACTAGAGATCATGTGATCATCCTGAGAGAGCAGACATATACGAAAGATCCAAACAGGGCTACTCAAAACGTTTCGAAGAAGGTTTCAAAGCAAATCTAACTTTGGAAACAAAGTTTGAGCTATATCTGGGGCAAAACAAACTGAACCAGGGGTGGCCACTGAAATTATGCAAATCAAGATCCTTATTTAGTGAAAAGCAGAAAGAATTTTTGGATGAAATTTTTAAAGAGGGTAAGCGAACAGGGGTCAAAGCAAATCCTGATACAGATTCGTTAACCACCAGAAAAGCAAGAAATGATCAAAATAAGCATCTCCTTCAAGTATCAAAATGTTTAACATCTCAGCAAGTGGCCTCGTACTTTGGCAGAAAGAAGGCTTCACAAAACCCAAAAGCGGCCAATCGTTGACAGTATCCTTGCTCCACATGTATCAAGTACAATCTTAATATGAAAACAAAGGAAAAACTCCCTGGAATGAGTACGGAAAAAATGCAAATGAGTACGAAAGAAATGCAATCTATAGGAAACATAGCAATGATCTTGCCTAATATTGCCTCTACAACTTTATTTAAAAGAAAAAAAATGGCGCACAAAAATCGCCCCGAGTTGAACAGAAGCACGCCATCCTTATGATGATAGATGACTATATATGGTCAGAATACCGACAGAAGAGGGAAACACCTGCAAAGTGGATCACATGGCTACCATTATCATCATCAAGACTGTAAAAGAAGCCCTTGCCATTCCTTCTTAGTCTGTTAATTTAATGCATAATCCCTGTGGTGTTGACTCTGACCTTCTAGTAAATTATTTATGTTCAAACCATTTTATTGGTCAAGTAAGTTCTAATTTGTTTGCCTAGTCAATACCTCAATTAACTTACTCTATGTTTGATCCAGTAATGGACCGCCTTCAAATGGAAGCACATGACTATCAAGCTCCAAATCTTCAATCTTTTTCTTCATTCAAAGATGTTTATTTAGTTGATTTTCTTAAGTTACCTTTAAAAAGTACAAACGATTATAATGATGCTTTTGATATTGTATTACAGACATCGATGGGAGAATATCTCTCAAACGATGTGGTACTTACGCCAGCTGACTGGCCTGGTCAGCTTTTTTTCATGGCAAATAGTCTACCAGAAAGCCAGACAAGCAACTGCAATCAGCACTGTACCTCACTGCTCACTGCTCTTCTCCTCATCCGCTGTGCTCTGTCATTCCCACTTTAGGGCCCTTGTATGTAGACCTTAATGCTGTGAGGATATTGTTTTAGTTTACACGCCTTTCATGAGGCTTGTTTATGACTCTCTTCTTCCAGGGAGGAAACTTGCAGACAAGCTAAAACCCTGGAGAATTCTTTTAGAAGACTGGTTTTTCAAGAGTTAAGGATGTTCAGTATGGTGTTCTTTTAAATTCATTAGATAACTGCATTCCTCTGGCACTTTGCAGTTACAGTGTTTTGTTCAAGTTAAATCACTTTGATGATTCTTTCAGTTCAATTTTCGGGCTTTGGGTCATGTTTTTTTTGCTTCCACGGGAAAAACTACAACAAAGCCGCTTTATTCTGGCTCAGCAACATTATTTATTAGAAGACCAATGGCTGCAAAGGATGTCTATAATTTCTTTTGTAGCTAAGTGTAATTGATGAATATTTTGTTGAGTTTGTCCACAGCATGGCAAGGAAATCCACCAGCCAATCTGATAATGTCGAGCAACAGTGGCAGATGTTTTCTCTCTTTGTTTCTGGGGAAAGGCAAGCAAACTTTAGGCCAGCCTTTACCCCTACCAAGAATTATGTTTTTAATTCGCTGCCAATTGACACCTTCACGTTCAAAGGTTGTATCAGTATACGTGGGCATTCTACCACGGGCTCCTGGACAAAGAAAAGATCTCAGGAAATTACCAGCCCCGTTTGGTGATGCACCTGTTAAGAAGGATTTCTTGCCCCTTGGGTTCCAGTTCTCCCCCCAACCTGAACAGGGTCATAGGTGTGATCACTTGGATTGTTCTGTGTCAGATGAAATGCCATGGAAAATCTTTCACGGGTGTTGGCATTCTTTCCATTTACAATCAAGCTAAAGCTGCCATTGACACCTTTATTCAGGAGCATAAGCAGCACGCTTTCTTAAAGACATGTTGTCTTAGTGGCATGACAGACTTGGGTTCATCTGTACGGCATTTGCCCCAAAAGATTCTCCGTAGATGAACCAGGCAGAAGTGATACATGCGGGGTGGGCACATGAGATTTGCCAAATTTTAGCCTTCTCGACGTCTGTCATGCAGATGTCTGTGACACTGTTACTGTAAATAAGGAACTTAAAACATATCAGGCTAGCATCCCACCATCAGGGGAAGCACCCTCCTATGCAGAATGCAAAAGAAAGAAACACGTCAGGGAAGCTCAAAAGGCAATGAAAGTAGGACAAGAAATGTGTGAAGAAAGTAAAAATAGCCATTTTATTGACCCTTCCTCTTCATGTCAGCCCCCAAACTGCAGGCAACGCAAAGGGAAAAGATCAACAAGGAGAAAGTCGAAAGCAGCCTTGGTGAATCCTCAGCCAGCAGGTTATGAAGACATACCCAATGCTTTTTCATCTAATATGCCCCAATGTTTTGCATCGCCGACTAATGTGCCCCCATCTTTTGCACCTCCATCTAATGTGCCCCAATCTTTTGCGTCTCCATCTAACATGTCCCCACCAAATGTGGGCCCGCCTAACATATCCCTACCTAGTGAACCTGTATTTACTGTGCCCTTCTCTCATGCGTTGTCGCTTATGTCAGTTCCAACAAACAGTGGCAGCTCTTCCTGGCATCAGGCTTTCCATAACACACACTGTTCAACGCTGTCTCAAGTGGTCCTTACCTCACCCAGACTCCTACACCCCACTACAGTAATCACTGGCACTCTGGCTAGATGAGGCCATTAAGCTACTTTACATCAAAGCAGATCTTTACAACTCTCTGGACGCCCATTACCACCAAGTATTAGAATCTTACCAATTTAATGTCATAGTAAAATTGCTAACCATATGTTATTTTGAATTAATATTCAGGTATTTTTTTCTGTTATTCTTTTCACACAATTTTGCAAACTTAACAGCTTTAGCAAACGTTGATTCACTGTTGAAGGCAATAGTTTTACAAATTTAGCTAAAAATAGTAGCACATATGCACCTTTGTTGGCTCTCCAACAAAGGTAGCTTGTTACAGTGATGTATGTATCGGTAATAACATTTCAATGGTATTTGATCTGTACCGAAAGACAAGCGTGTAACACCTTAGACATGCCCCAAGTAGCTCGCTTAACAGAGTTTTTTGTGTGGAATTGCTTCGATCTACCGCCATTTTGAATTTTTAAGCCTCTTCCCGGTGATCTAACAAGGGACTTAGAGCAAGTCTAGTAACACATCTGCGATAGTCAGGGGTAAGAAAATAAGGTTTACAAACAAACGCATGCACAAGTCTGTTCAGAGAAATTCACCAGTAATTGTATGGGATGTTCTACATAATGAAACAAGGGGTGATTTTAAGGGAAATAAAAAGGGGGCCAATAAATACCTCTGGCAACGAACATAGTTTAGTTGGGAGACAATGTAATTTCCTTTTTCTAACCCTAAATGTGTCCAGAGCTCCATAGCAACTTTGAGGAAAACTCTTGTTTGTTAAGAGAGAGTATTCTATCAGCCAATTGCGTCAAAGAGATGAAAGATATAAGAGATTCAGCGCTTGCCGAGGCCGCAGAAGACAATAAAACACTCCCAAGAACTCGACAGAAATAAGGCTTTAAAAAGACGACGACAACAGCAAGTAAATAAAGAAAACGTGAGTACTCAACAGCACAGAAATTACTTTGATCATCCAACCCAATAAATATTACCTTATCACTGTTATATTTTACAGTTCAGTTGCAGGACCACGTATTCACCAAAAGATGCAATCTAACATAAACCACATAGAAGCTGAATTGTCTGGCAACTATATACGTAAAACATGTCGTGAAATTTAACGATTTCAAGGTAATGTTTTAGTTAATTTCTTTCTTTCTTTAATTATTTAATTGTTTATTTATTTTATTTAGGTTTTGCCATGAAGCAACCAAACATATTTTCAGATCACTCTCGAATTGTCTGCTGGATCAAAATTGGTACAGACCTCTCAAATAATAATAACAATTTTCAAGACAAAAACAATGTTAAGCTTCCACAACAGTATGTCTGGGACGAAACGCCTGCAGCAAAATTTACTGCTGCCTTTCGCTCCAATGATATTCTGTCCTTAATAAAACTCTCTTTGAAAGTACCAAATTCGATTTAAGCAGTACAGATGTCGAAAATGCTACCAATCAATTCACAAATATTATGACTGAGGAAGCAAAACGTTCACTCAAATATGGTAGCCAAAAGAATTCTAAAAGAAAGCCAATTACTAAGAAATGGTTTGCTTATGAATGCAAAACTTTAAGATCTTCACTTAAAAAGTTATCTAACAAAAAACACCACAATCCTCTGGATACCGAAATCAGGAAAGAATATCATGTTCAAAATAAAGCCTTTAAAAAACTTATAAAACATAAAAAACAACAATTTTTTGACTCTAAAGTAAATGAGCTGATTAGTAAAGAAAATAACCACAAATTTTGGGATACTCTAAAGTCAATGAATGAAAACAACTTGTCTTAAAATAATAACCAAAACCCGACCAATAAACTTAATGATAATTTCAAAACGCTACACTCTGCACCTGATCCTAATGAATTAGTGGCATTTCAAACAAACATGTTAGACGATAAAAAGGGTTTGGAGGACAGCAACCATTTACAGCCGGAATTAGACAATCCAATATGGATTGAAGAGATTGATAAAGTAATTAAAAAACTAAAAAACAAGAAGACTGCCGGACTTGATGGAATACGCAATGAAATAGTTAAAACAAGCTTAAGATTTATAAGATATCCACTTGAGAAACTCTTTAATCTGATTCTACAATCTGGAATATTTCCTACGTCATGGAGTAATGGAATAATCACTGCCTTGCATAAATCTGGAAACAAAAACGACCCTTCAAATTACAGAGGTATCTGCATTAGTAGTTGGAAAAAGAAATGTCTAGGGCCAGATTTTGAGAGCTCATGGGAAGAGGACAGCACTTCTGAGCCTGGTACAGTACCGTTAAAACCACATACTAATAATCTGTCACTTCATGGCTTTGTTGATGTGTATTGATATCACATCTATGTACATAATTGTAGCTTTTTTAATAATTTTTAAAATTTCGTTTTGTATTTTACTTATTTCTTGGTTACTTTTACTTGCTGTTGTAGACAAGTTCGAGACTGCAGAAGAAGGACTACTGGGAAATAGTATGTCTGGCGAGTCTTCAGGTACTTGATATTTGCCGTTTGTTCTTTGAGTATGTGTGTCGCATAGTATACCCGTCCCTGGAGAGGTACTCCTGGAAATTTTTGGTGGGGGTGTGCCGCCCAGTTCTCGAAATCCTGACCTTATTTCAGACCAAAAAATGTCATTTATGTCCTTTCTCCCTCCCCAGACCAGGGATTCATTTGAATATTGGGCTGCATTACCTGAGCTTATTTACTGGGCACAGAAAAAGATAGCAATCATAAAGTGGAATGAAATGGCTCAGGGCAAAGGCCCAGAGCCGGTTTAATCAATAAAGTTATCAAATAAATTACAAAAATAT